GTAATCCAGGAAGCAATCATGCAGATTTATTGCAGCGCGATCTGACAAACTGCCAATTCTTGACAGATAGTAGTTTGCTGATATTTACTGACGATGAGATTTGTTTTGTAATAAGTTAGTGAGTATAGTAAGTGTAACTTATTAAAATGAAGCACTAAAATTTGTTATGATCAAATGAATTTCAACTTTCATACCTCTTTCAGGATTCTTTCATGGCTATGACTAATAAAACGAGATAGACGAACCAGATATGTAATTATGAGTTGTTAAGAAACATGCTTAAGTAGCAGTGCTTTCTACAATCTAGTAATTCAGTAGTGTTTGCGGTGCCGAGATTTTGCGGTAAAATTTGCACGTGAACAAATAGCCACACCAGTAATGCCGGCATTTTGCGCGCGCTGGTGGCCGGCATTACTGGCGTGGCTATTTGACGCTCGCAAATTTTACAGCAAATTCTCGGCACCACTATTTTAAGGGGAAAAGCTACTGGACTGTACAGGTACACTTACCCATTCTGTCCAAAAACATTTGAGTCGTCATCTTTATTACAAACAAACGATGCATATAACTGCATCATTGGGAAAAATTCGCGAATTTCCGACAGGAAACAGCGTTGATAAATTTACGATCAGATACTGATTAGTTTGGAGTTCAAGTGAAAGCAGAAATGTTAATATGTATACAATATGTACTATATTTGCAGATTTGGTGTTTACTTATTTAAAAGTGCTTCAATATCCTTCTCCATATCTTTTGCCTCTGTATTTGGTCCATATCTTTTCACAACATTTCCATCTTTATCGACCAAGAATTTAGTAAAATTCCATTTAATAGCATCAATGAGTGTTCCACCCTAAATAAAAAGAAATTCATATGCCGATTCAATATGACAAACTCTCTAACCTTCTCCTTCTTCAAAAATTTGAACAGAGGTTCAGCTTCACCGCCATTTACTTTGATCTTAGCGTAGAGATCCGGTTCAAATTTGTATTTATCATTCATGAAGGCCTTGATATCAACTTCACAGCCAG